ATGATCTGATGATGAAGGGAGCCAAATCCCACACGGCCAACTGCAGTCTGAATCCAGCTGCAGAAGCTTGAAAACCACACCAGGTGCATGTGCATGCATGCGCATGCATGCTCAAAATCCCAACAAGTAGGAGGAATGAAGAAGAAAGGAATTGTGTTATCCACACCCCATTGGGGATTGTCTCTCTCTGTCACTCTGGATCTGGTGAGCATATGTGCCCTCTTCAATTAAAAAAAATGAATTGTGACAAAATGCACACAACCTAAAAGTTACCATCTTAATCCTCTTTAAGTACACAGTTCAGTGGCATTAAGTACACTCATATTGTTGTGTAAAGATCATCCTCATTAAATTCTGAATTCTTTCCTTCTTACAAAACTAAAACTCTATACCTAAGTTAAACACTGAGTCCCTGTTCCACCAAGCCGCCAACAACCACCATTCTAGAGTTGACCATTGAACAGCACAGGAGTTAGGGGCACCGACTTTCTGTGCAGTCTGAAATCCACACGTAACTTTTGACTGCCCCAAAACTTTACTAACTTGTTGACTGGAAGCTTTACTGATAACATAAATAATCTGTTAACACATATTTTATATGTTATATGTAGGGCTTCCAAAAATGTTATGAAAATGCATATCATAATAAGTTATGTATGGATTTTATTTTTTTTCAGCAAAATAATCTCATACTTTAATTACCTTTTCCACAAAGTTTTACAAGTCCCAATATATATATATATACATATATATATATTTGACCGCAGTTCAAGTCCTAGACCCGGTAGCTTAAAACTCACGCCAGGCGCGTGTGCATACACGCCCAAGATCCCAAGAGGAGAATGAAGGAGAAGGGATTGCGGCGTGGCCATCCACCCTGGGGGGTGATTTCTCGCTTTCTGTCTCTCTGTCTCTCTCTGTCTGTCTGGCGAGCGCACGCACCCTATGGCAAAAACCTCTCAAAAAAAAAGTTAAATAAAATAATTATTAAAAAAAGAAAAAACACCCATGAGTAAGCAGACACATAATATTCAAATCCACATCATTCAAGGGCCAAGCCTACTTTCTGTTTCTATGACTTTGCACTAATTACCTCTCATGAGCAGAATCATATGCTGTTTGTCTCCTATGTGACTGGCTTATTTCACTTAGCGTAATGTCCTCAAGGTTCACCCATGTTTCAGAATTTCCTTCCTTTATAATGGAAGTTTAAAAAGTTTAAAATGTTAAAAATAAATAAATAAATAATAATTGTGGGACCAGCCTTGTGGTCTGATGACGAAGGGAGCCAAATCCCACATGGCCAACTGCAGTCTGAATCCTATTTAAATACTATTGAATACTACTTCATTGTGTGCATATCCAGTCATGTGTCAGCGGACACTTGGGCTGCTTCCATGTTTTAGCTATTGCGGATAACACTGCAATGAACCTCGGTGCACAGAAGTGAAACTGCTAGATCATGTGGTGATTGTTTTCAGTGTCTTCAGGAATCGCCATACTGTTTTCCACGAAACCTTATTACATTTTCACCACCCGTGCGCAGGAATTCCAATTTCTCCTAATTCTTGCCAACCTTTGTTATTTTCTGTCTCTTTATCGTGGCCATCCGAATGGGTGTAGGACAATATCTCATTGTGGCTTCTAATTTTCAAAGAAATTGCTTGTTTGAGGCAGCTGCTGCAAGCAAAATGATGCCACAATTTTAACTGGGAACGTTTTCCAGCTCTTTCATCATTTTCTCAGTAAGTGGGTAAGCCATTAGGTGACCGTGATGGCAATCGTATTTAGGAAGTTTCTCTTAACATCAGTGAAATTGTTCATGGTGGTAAATCATGTCTGTGCCTCTGCTTCACAGTAACTACATTTAAAAATAACGTTATACTAAGTGAAATAAACCAGGTACAGAAAGACCAATACTACAGGGGCTCCTTTTTATGTGTAATCTAAAAAGAAAATAAATAAGTGGAATTCACAGAAGCAGAGCATACAGTGGTGAGTGTCAGAGCCTAGTGGGGAGGGGAGAGTTTGGTTGGGGAGATATTGGTCCAAGGGTGCAAAGTTTCAGCCTAACAAGGGGCTTAGATTGAGAAGATCTAGTATATAACACAACAACTATAATTGATCATAATAGTTACGTATTTGAAAATTGTTAAGAGGGTAGATTGTCCATGTGCTTATCACAAAAATGATAAATATGAGTAGTAGATATTTATACATCTATGAAAACATCTCATTGTATTCCATAAATACACATAATTTGTCATTTCAAAACATAAAAATAAGTTAAAAAATTAAGCTAAATGTCTGATCCTTGTACAATGGTGTGAATTTTGTGTCTCAATGTATTTCATCAGCTAAGTCTTCAATATTATTATTGAAATGTCATATTTAATTAGTTTGTTTTTGTTACTTTTAAGTCAAATTTGAAAAAGTATTAGAATTTATATGCCTTAAATGTTTATTGTATCTTTTTTCACCTAGCAAATAGAAAGCATTTTCCTTTAAGTTATTATCTCATAAACTAAAAGCATTCTGTTGGATGAGACAGTGGGTATTCTGTGTGCCCGCAGGTCCCACTAGTCCCACACACAGCAGTCAAAAGCTCCCTGTGGCCGTGGGCGAACTCGCTGCCCACCTTCGCCTGCAAAGCCATGGGTGGGCTCAGCTGCTCCGCAGCTGCTCACCCTGGGGCCCGAGCCCATCTCCACGCTTGGATGACTGGCCTGTGGAAAGACCCAGGCACAGCAGCCCCTGGCATGGGCATGAAGGGTCAGAGGAGCACAAGGAATTAGACAGAAGCAAGAAGCACAAGGATCAATACACGACGAGGCCCTGACAGGAGGTCACAATCCAGTAACCCTCTAAAGCACAGAAGGAAAAGATAAAGACCAACTTCAGGAGGCGAGCTGGATCTGTATTGGGAGAGGGTGAGTGACTGGGCAAGCCCTGGAGGGGGCTGTGAATGTAGATTTCTCATGACAGATTCTGTCAGAGAGGGGACTCCGCAGCTCACCAGCATGACTGGTCCCCATTCCCACATTCACCACCCTCCCCACTTCACAGTGAGCCCCAAGGTGAACTCATTCCATTACTTGGTGAGGACATTTTCGCCACTCTGACTACGCCCAACAAGGAGGGTTAATTAGCTCATGTGGAATTCTCATGCTGACTTCGCTGGTGTCACCAACCCAGGGCAATTAAGGGCCAAACGGGAATAATAATGAGAGATAAAAAACATCCTGAAGCGGTAGGATAGCTTCACTAATTATGCTGGGTTATTATTTCTACATTTTTGGAGCTGTTTCTGTTGCTATAGAAATAAGAGGTTAATGAGACACACACCCATGTCCTTTTGAAAGAATCTAGCCTGCACTCCCTTCCACACCCAGCGTCTCTGTGGGCATCTCTGGGGCTCCTGTAGGTGCCCAGAGAGGCCAAGGGAAAAGGCCTGAAAGGAGGGCCCACTCTCTGGGGAATGAAGCTGTGTCTCTCTTCCTGGTCACCTCACCCATTTTCAGAGCCAGCCACTGGGGCCCAACTCATGGAGGCAAGCCAGACCTGTCCTACCTCCTCCTCACTTTGTGCCATCTGGGGAGGACACTTGCCCTCCAGTACCTCAGGCCCTGTCCCTGCAATACCATTCAGTGTGTCAAGAGACCTAGATGAGAGGGCAGATAAGGAGCCTGGCCCATGGGGAGCCTGCACCCCTGCCCTCCAACGCCCCTGGAATCCACGGACCAGCTCAGTGGGCCTTATCTACCCTCCCACCTTGGCCCCACATGCACGTGACCTTCCCTACCCACAAGCAGCTTGTCCCTGACTAGTCCAGCAGCCAAAGTGAGCACCTGTCTCTTCCCCATCACACACACCAATGTCTGTGATTCAGCCAGGATGGGTCTGGCAGTGTTCTGCATCTGTTCCCTTGTTCTATAGGGAGGCAGATAAAGAAGGACTTAGGGCAGAGTGAGTTGGGCTCCACCCCAGGGCAGGCTGGACTCCACTGTAGGCAGGCACTAGGATTCCCTGTCGTCTGGTCTACTGGGACAACTCACAGATCCCTTTCATCATGGCCATCTGGGCCTCCCCGTAGTAACACTAGAATCGTGCAGTGGACAGTGAGTTCCAGGGCCCTCACCTTTTCCCATTAAATCTGCAAGGACATAGCAAGATCCATCTTCAGCTCATACAGTGCTGGCTGCTTCTTTGTTAGTCAGTGTGCATTTTGTTGGGTCTTCCTCTCCTCTTAGGTAATGTCAACTAAGATGCAGCGTCAAAGAACTGATGCCACTTCCTGGCAGCACCCTACCCGCAGCCTAAGGAAGCCCTGCTTCCTTAATCCGCTAACTCACCCAGCCAAAGCCCAGCTCCTAACAAGGCTTTCCCAACATCCTCTTCCCAATATGCCTTTGGGTCCCCATGTCTCTTCCCCAGAAGCCCCAAGGTCCCTGAACCTCTTCCCCAAAAGCCCCAGAGTTACCAACCCTCTCCTCCAGACCCGACTTGACCAACACCATGTGTGGTCCTGCTGGCCTTTTGCAGCAAGGATGTAATCTTACTGAAATATTATCTCCTTCACTGGGAACCCAGAGAACTGCTTCTGCTCCAGGAGGGGCCAGTATTTTGTGGGTATAGTGGGGAGCAGCACACAGCCAGGTGGTCTCCACACAACGCCGTACTGTGCCTCCCACCTGAGACCTCTGTTCTTTCTCTGGTGCCTAGAAATCGAGTGGCAGGAACTGTGGAAATCCTCCAGGACTTCGTTCTGTGGCTGCTCTGTGTGAGTCTCCAGGACTTCGGGAGGAAGCCTGTGGTGGGCACCCTCTAGATGCCAGCAAGTTGACTCTTGGCAGAAGTTGAAAAACCAGTGAACATGCAGGAGATGTACAGGCAATCTGGTGGGTCTCAGTGTCCTCAGACTCCCACAAACATTGTGCGGGAGGGCTATTCACAACCTCACAAGCTTCCTCCAGTTAATCCTTTCACATCGTCATTCTCTGGGCCTGATCATGGTGGGCTATAGGCTGCAGAGACAGAGATGACAAGACACAGATCTGCCTTCGAGGTGCTCACACAGACCCAAAGGCAGTGACCACAGAGCAGCAGACCCGGGGATTCCAACAGAGTGGGATGAAGGGCCAAGGGTCCAGGAAGGGGGAGGCTCTGACTCAGGGTGTGGGGTTGTTGGAGGAAGACCACTCAGGAGGAAGGTTTTAGTCTTAGCTCTGGAGGGAGCTTGGGATTCAAATACGCCAGGAGAAGAGAGGGCAGGAAGAGGGCCTTCTGGGACCAGGCTAAAACTCAAAACTAGGAGCCCAGTTTTGCTCCTCGGGGTGAGGGAAAGCACGTCTCTAGAACCCTGAGGTATTTCAGCAACCCCTGAGCCCTGAAGGATGACTAGAATCTCTCACGACACCTGCTGAGTTAGGAGCGGCTGCCTGAGGTCTGAGTAAAGGAGGATTCTCGTGCCCATGTTGTCTGTCCCACGAGCCAGGTCTGCTGCAACTGTGAGAATGGCAGCCCACTGGTCTGTCCTTGGATCACCCAAAGGACAGGAAAGCCCAAGTTCAAGCACAGAGGAGCAATGGCTTCCAACAGTTCTAGTAAAGAATTTCCTGTGGGACTATAAAGATATATGTGATTAAATGTAATATAAAAAAATTATGATAATAACAAAATTCAATTTTAAAAAAGAGTACAATTATAAAGAAGTGTCCTAGACACACACACCCCTTTCTGAGTGTCATTGCCTCTTTTTCAGCCTAGGCCCCCAGCTCTCAGAAAAGACCTGGGGACTCTGGAAACCTGAATCACAGCGAATCAGTGACATGAGCTGGGACTTGAACCCAGGTCTTGTGACTCTGGGCACAGTGGCCTTGTCTTAACCTTTCTGTCACTGATCTGTGCTTCTCCAAGTCCTGACTCCAGTACAGAGAGGACTATCCTGCTGTAGCAAGAAGTGGTGCCTGAGCCTAGAGCACCACACTCCAGTCTCTCACTCCTACCCAGACATCGTGCATCGGCCACATGCCAGCCCTAAAAACAGGAACGACAGGCAGTGAAGAAGCCAAGTCCCAGCCAGCATGGTTCCGTGACCATGCTGAGTAGACATGTCCACACAAGAGGAGCAAGCCATAAGGATAAAGAGAGGGTGTGTGGCTGGCAAAGTCAGGAAAGGCTTCCTGGAGGAGAGGGTGCCTGATCTGAATTTTGTCAGGTGAGCAAACCTGCAAAGGCAAAGAGTATTCCAGGTGGGATCAGTCACGAACACAGTCTAGGAGATATGAAAACATGCTCTGTGGATTCTGGAATCTTCCATCTTTACGTGATTGGAACGGGAGCCAGAACAGGGTTGATCTGCTTGGACTCTGCCATGTGTGATAATTTGTGTTCATGCTGAGATATTCGAAGAACCCCTTAGGATGAAAGGAAAGAGAACAGTGTTGGCTACAGAACAGCTGGCTTTGAGTCCTGGTTTTGTCACTCCCTGTCTGAATGATCTCCAGCAGCCATTTGTTTTCTGAATCTCATTTTCCTCCTTTGCAAAGTGATGTGAGCCTCCCTCCCTCCCCAAGTCCCAGGGCTATCGTGAAGATCAGACAAGGCCGTGGATGTTTTGGCAATGAGGAAGCATTCCCCCAGGGAAAAGTACAGACGGCACATCCAGCTCTTCTTGCACTTGAAGACAGCTATGCTCACACACATGCATACGCATGTGCACACTCGCCTATGCACATGTGCACAGCCAGGAATACACACACCACATGCATGAACATGCACCAGAGAATATAATGGGGCATTAAAAACAGTTATTTGGGAGCTAGCAAGTGGTGTAGTGGTTACGGTGCTAGACTTTCCAGCAGTTCAAGTCCCGGAACTTGCACCTTGAAAATCATACTGGGCATGTGTAACCAAAATCCCAGGAAGAGAATGGAGGAGAAGGGATTGTGGTGTAGCCATCCTCCTGGGGGGAGGTGAAGAGGGGATTTCTCACTTTCCCTTTAGCTGTCTCTCTCAGGCAAGCACACGTGCCCTAAAGCAAAAACCTAAAAAAAAAAAAAAAAAAAAACCTTTGGGTTTTTTTCCCCAAATTTCCTTCCTATACTCTTTCTCTCTCTCACTCTCCTTCCACTTTGTCCCTAGTGTCCATAACAATTTTCAATGCTTTTATGTTCTTCAGTCTATCAGTCTCTAAGCAGACAATTGGTATATGTTAAGTAGAGACATAAAATGTCTCTGTTTCATAGCCTGGCTTGCTTCACTCTGCAAAAAATCTTCCACATTCATCCACTTTCTATCAAATGCCAGGGTCTTGTTTTTTATTTTTATGGCTGAATAGTATTCCATGGAGTACATGTGCCACACTTTTTCAATCTATTTATCTGTTTGTGGATATTTAGGTTGGTTCCATGTCTCAACAATCATGAATAATGCCACAGTAAATATAGATGAGCAAGCGCTTTTCTGACTGAGCACTGTCCTTTGGGGAGATACCCAGCTGTGGAATTGCTGGATCACATGGTAGCTCTATTTTTTAGGTCTTTGAGGACCCTCTATATTGTTCTAATAGAGAGGTAAGACATTTGTGGGACACAGATGTGGTTTATTACCTGTTGATGACAACATGTATGGTATTCTCAGCTGGGCAAGTCTGAGGTGTCTATCATGCTGGGTAAAGTCTCTTTACAACCTAAATGATGTATAGCAATCGAATGTATAAATATTAATAAAAATTAATTCACTCATTCAATTTTTTTTTTAATAACTAAAAGCAATTGTTTGTGGGCCGGCTCATGGAATGGTGGTTAAAGTGACTGAATCTCCCATGCCCAACTGCACAGTTTGAGTCCTGGACCCTGTGGCTTGAGAAATATGCCAGGGATATGTGAGTGCATGCTGAAAATCCTGAGAGGAGAATGAAGGAGAAGGGATTACAACATGCCCAACCCCCCTGGGGGTGATCTCTCTCCCTCTCTCTGTCTCTCTCTGGCAAGTATATGTACCCTACAGCCAACTGAAAAAAATAAAATAGTTATTTGTAATAAGAATCAATAAGAAAATAATTAAAATGTTAAATACAAAGTGTACACTTTTCAATTGTCATCAAAAGTACAACTGATGGGGACCAGCAGGTGGCATGATGGTTAAAGCATTGTACTCCCACATGGCTGGCTGCAGTTCGAGTCCCAGACCTGGCAGCTTTCCCTTCCTCTCTCTCTCTGCCCTCTCTCTCTGCCTGTCTCTCTGGTGAGCACGCGCACCCTATAGCAAATTTAAAAATTATAATAATGATCAATAAAATTAAATAATTCCTTTAAAAAGTACAACTGATTATGTAACAATATACATTGTGGGTTGAATGTATGAAAGTGACCTTATTTGGAATGAGGGTCTTTACAGATGTAGTCAAATTAAGATAAGGAGGACCTTAATCCGTGACTGACGTCCTTATACAGAGAGAGATTTGGAGACAAGCAGGACAGAAGGCCATGTGATGATAGAAGCCGAGAATGGAGATGGTATCATATGCCAAAGAGCACCCAGGAGCGCTGGCAACTGCCAGGAGCTGGGAGAAGCAAGGAAGACTCCTCCCCTAGAGTGGTGGGAGGGATCATGACCATGCAGGCACCTAGATCTTGGGATTTTCAGAACAAGAAATTAGTTTTTGTTATTTTAAGCCACCCAGTTTGCAGTTAGAGCAGCCCAGGACATTCACACGATACACAAGGGAAAAGCTGTCTGGAAGAGAATTATCCAATACGGATTAAGACAAGGAAAATTAACGGAGCAGTATCTCATGATTTCCCTTTTCTACACTTCCGTAATCATAGTTATCTGAAACATCACTATTCTGCTTTTTGCATTACTTCTGATTTTCAAAAATGAGCCAATGGCAGTGGGCATGCTCTGAGAGCTTCTACCTACCCAGAAGGTACTATGAGGCCTGCCCAATGTGGCAGAAACAAGCTGACGTTTGAACAGCTTATTAAAGATCTTCATAAATAAAAACACAGCCTTGTGTGTATGTAATCATGCCCACGAGGGGAAGTGGAGTTTAGTAGCTGACAGTCCCAGACACAGTGTTCCTGATCCAGTCTATACGGCCTAACAGGCAAAGCAGCAGTACCCTCGACCTGGTCCTCCTGGGATGACCCCTTGCCTTGACTATGTGCCCCAGTTTCCTCCAAGACTAAAGCTGTTCCACTGAGTGGTCTGTCTACACTCGTAAGAGTCTAAAGGGTCCTCTCCCCACTTTCTGACTCGCTTGACAATTTTACCAAATAAAAGCTATACCAAAGGAGAGGAGAATAACTAAGGCAGGATGGCCAATTACAAATCCAAGACATGGATGCTCAATCAAAGGCGCACTGATAGAAATTCTTCTGCATTTAGTGAGACTTAAAATTTTTGTGATGCTTAATGGAATCCTGGAGAGTGGGAAGCACAGTCTTTGATGCTTAAACCTCATGAAAATTCATTTGTGTGCTCAACTGACACGAAAATATTCGCTCATCTTTACATGGTGCGTGCTTTATTCAGATCCAGGCTGGCCTGACGCAGCATGGCTGTGCCTGCAGACTTGTACTGAATGCTCCTTTAAAACGTCTTACCAAAGAGGGAAGTGGCTTTGGTTTTTTGTTGTATTTTCAATATGTGTCTGCCTCTTCCCTTTTCGGTTCTTTTGTTCAGGAAACAACCTCACGTGCAGAGCTGAAAGATGCAAACACTGGTGTGATGAAGCCCTGGACTCCAGGCTCAGAAAACCGCCCAGAACCAGCAAAAATGACAAGGCGATGCTGTATTATACCTCCCAAGGAAGGATTGTAATAGCTGTAAGAGCTGCAGCAGGAGACACTGCATGGCAACGCCCACCTGTCGATGTCTGAGGCTCAACTGCGCTATCGTCCTTGTTCCATTTTTTAGCACTATTAAACAGAAGATAGCCATCCTCATCTTCTTTCATCACATCCTGGACAAAATAGAGGATGAGGCCAGTAAGCAACAAAGGGGAAGATAAAATAATAAAGACTGAAGGAGGTGCGGGGGAGTGACAGCGTCCGCGCAGTCCGGCGGGGTCAGCTGCATGGAGAGGATCACAGCGCTGAGCCCCAGGAGGCTCCCTTTGGCTGCAGGGAACAGGGCCAGGTTGCGAGAGGAGACAACCGGTATCTAAAGACAGCAAAGAGATGCTGCTGTGATGGGGGTAGGGGGTTTCGGGGTAGGAGCACCGCGGGTGCTGGAGTGGTAGGGGGCCCAGCTGAGGCTGGGTCGAAACCAGTTGCTAGCATCATGCAGGAGGCTACATCTCGGCTGAGCTTAGAAGGATGGAAGGATTGGCGAGGAGGCTGGGGGCCAAGTGCACCAGCCATCTGGGGTGTAGCTATTCTAGGCCTGGCGGAGCCATGGGAAAGAAGGTGCTAGCAAGGAGTCTGGAGGGAAGGAGGAGGGGTGTGGGAAGCCGAGGCTTCTCCCTGGCCTGGAAGCAAAGGAGGGTTCCAAGAGGGCAGGCGTCTGCAGAAGAGTCCTGGGGCAGTCACCAGCCACCGCTCCATGTGTGTGAGCACGACCCAGGGCTGGTTTGTCCAGAGCCTCGTTGAAACCCAGCTCTGTCGAGCGTCCACACCGTGGATGCAGCAGGGCAGGGTAAAAGGAGCGGCCCCTCCCCCACGGCCCTGGGACCGGAGTGTGCCCTCCACTGTCCACCTTTGCAGGAAAGGCTGCTTTACTCTTCATAAAGAAGTCAGTGATGCCTTCTATCTTTTCATGCTGGGGCTGGCAGGTGGTGTGGTGGTTAAGGGCGCTGGACTCTCACATGACTGACCATGGTTCGAGTCCTGGACCTGGCGGCTTGTTTTCTTACTTTCCCTCCCTCACTCTCACTCTATCCCTCTCTGGCCAAATTAAAATAAATAAAAATAAATAAAGTTAAATAAAATAATTCTTAAAAAAAATAAAAAGAAGTCAGCGTCACCTTCTGTCTTTTCAATCTGCGGGAAACTGTGCAGCCATTCTCCGCATCGTGGCCCTCTAAAGGCAAGGTCCTGCTGCTTCTTTTTTTTTTAACTTTTTTAAAAAATATTTTACTTAACTTTATTTATTTATTTTAATTTGACTAGAGTGGGACACAATGAGTGAGTGAGAGAGAGAGAGAGAGAAAGTGAGAAAGCTAACTGCCAGGTCCAGGACTCGAACTACAGTCAGCCATGTGGGAATTCAGCACCCTTAATCACCATGCCAGCTACCAGCCCAGGGACCTACCTCTTCTACACTGCGTTCCACGTGCCTGGACTCCGCACACTCTTGTACTCCCTGAGAGCTGCTGGTAGGTAGGAAGTGGTGGGGGGCGGGGGGTCAGCTCCACCCGTCTCTGACAGCACCCCAGGCATGTTGAGGGTGCACTCCAGAGCAGAGATGGTTGTCATCTCAGTCATCTCTCTGCTCACCCCTCGTGAAATGGAGCTGCTGCCTCTAAGACAGAGCAGATTAAAAGACACTTTTCATAAAAAAGCTTTAAAAAAATGACAAAAACAAGCCAACAATTCATAATGATGATGTAAAGTGATTCGAATTACATTTTGATTAACAACAAAGTACAAAAAAAAATACAAAACAACGCTGCTTTTTGCAGTGAAATATCACAGACGCCTACTTCTACATTTTCACTTAAGTCTTGGGTTCCCCGAATACCTCCTGTTTATACTGCATCCTGCTATCTTTCTGGATGATCAACTCCCATCAAGGCTTTGTACATTCTTTCAGAATTAGCACAGAGACTTAGTGCAATTTCATCCCAATGGGATTCATTTGAACTAAAAAAGAAAAAAAAAATTCTAAAACTTATCTGAAAGAATTAATAATGAGATTGCTAAGAAACTTCTAAAAATGGAGAGTAATGAGGGAACTTCTTTAAAATAACTTTAAATGATTAGAAAATAACTTAAAATTATTTCTTTAAAAAAAAAAAAACTATCATTTAAATATTGTCAGTTCTCTCTAGAAACACGTTCTGACATACCGTGCAGACGGACCTGTGCCATTCCCTGCACTGACCACCTCTTTGGCGTCCAAGGGAGGACTTCCTCAGAGCGACATGGATGTTGGCATGTCCAGGTGTGCCCTGCAGACAAGTTATACCTGCTATTTCCCCCTGCTTTCTATGCAAAGGCACCCACGTGTTCACAATGTCCCATGACCATGCCTGGTTTTTTTGTTTGTTTGTTTGTTTGTTTGTTTGTTTGTTTTCTTTGCCATAGGGTATGTGAGCTTGCCCGAGAGAGAGAAAGAGAGAAAGTGAAGAAAAGTGAGAAATAACATCCCAGGAGGATGGCCACACCACAATCCCATCTCCTCTAGTCTCTTCTCAGGATTTTGGGCACATTCACTCACACACATGACCAACTTGTTTTTCAGGCCACCACATCTGGAACTCAAACTATATAGTTCGTCATGTGAGATCCAAAGCCTTAACCACCACTGGACAATTGTGCCTTTTTTTTTTTTTTTTTTTTTTTTGGAGAGGTTTTTGATATAGGGTGCATTCGCTCACCAGAAAGACAGAGACAGGGAGACAGAAAGCGAGAAATCACCCCCCAGGGGGGATGGCTACGCCACAATTCCTTTTCCTCCATTCTCCTCTCGGGATCTTGAGCACGCACGCACCCGTGCCCGGTGTGAGTTTAAGCC